CTTGAACAATAATAAAACATAAGCTAGAAAAAAAACAAACCATGATAACCAATTCGGACTAAATTTGATTTGCTGCGACAACAACGGACGAAGGTGCCTGACCAAGCATCGAACAACCAAGAAATGATGACGAATGACTCCCACATGGGACGACTAACAAACGGACAAGATTTGCCGGACAGAGTTGCAACTACGCGACCAACCCCAAAACAAATATGCCGGAGTGAGATGCGACTATGCGACCAACCTCACAAACAAATATGCGGGATTGAGGCGCGACTATGCGACCAACCTCACAAACAAACATGCCGAACATACGGCTAGTTGCAACAACATGAGCAACCAAAAAATGATGTCATCAACAACGTCATCAAAGATGTCTCAGTCTAACATGAGAAACTTATTCCGTGCGAGGAGCAAAACAAAACCAATCATGTTCAAAACTTTTTTTTAATGGGCATAAATAAAAAATCCAAATCTCCAATGAAAGGCAAGTTGATTAATGTATTAAACTTGATCTATCGGCATCACCTGTTTGTTGACTTGCTCACTTTTGGCAAACATAAACTTAGAAACCACCAAAACAAATACGGTTGGGTACTTGAACACAACTTTGCTCCACTGAATCACGACATAGAGATCAAAAGTCGGAACTACTGATGTTTGGCTGATTTTTGTGAAAGAACAGATTTGGACAGCGGCTCCAAACAAGAACTGATCCAGCGAACGGCGGCTACAAATAGGGACTGGCGGGCAATAGATCTTGGCGGCCATAGATAGTGATGGAAGATGGTGATGTCGGACGGGAACCAAGGGTGACTATTGGATCACAATTATGCCGATCATGTTGTGACAAGAATAAGATCTGATGGTAATGCCGCCGTCACCAGATAAACTGCAGGCGACGGCGGCAGCGAAAGCGGCAAACTAGAGGAAACTGAGGTTTAGGTTTTTCCAAGATTTGGCTCTGATACCATGTAGAAATATAATTAGAACTGAACTTGATGAATACATCGATCACAAACACCTTATTTATACAAAAATAACTCTAACCTAATCACAAGCCCACTAACAGGCCCAATAATATCAAAACCTAATTACATCCGCTAACATGGCATGCCAACTTCATGACCAAGAGACAAGATTATCACCCTAAAAAACATAGTAACTTGAGGTGGACCGCTGTGTGACTAGACATGCAACCCAATCAGCATCTAAACAAGCCTGAAGGGAGTCAGTGAAAGAGCGGGAAAGGGTGATTTCGTGAGTGACAGTGCCATGAAGATGCTAGAGGACCCGCTTCAGGGTTGTGAGATGTGTGCTTCGTGGTGAGTGGAAAGGAAGGCAGAGCGGCTAGACTATATTTTTGAGATCAGGCCGCGTGAATAAGAGTTACTTCAGGGCGCCAGCGATGGGCCGGTAGAGAGATAGATAAGCAACAAGTTCACCAAAATCGATGGCCAACTTACCTTTGGTGTCAACAGGCAAGGAGACATGCTTGCAGAAAAGCATTCTCGCTCGTTCCATGATTTCATGACCAAAATGTGTTTGATGTAGGGAGAGATCCCCTTTGGTGTGTTAGACATTAAGCACCGAGTGAACTGAAAAAGTAAGGGATCTGAAGAGGTAGTAAGAACGATATTGTCCACATAGAGAATGAGGTAGGCCATATCAGTCCCTTGTGTGTAGATAAAAAGAGAGGTGTCTATCTTGCAGCCGTGAAATCTGATCTGCTGAAGGAATCCTTCAAATCGCTGAAACCAAGAGTGGGGTGCCTATTTTATCCCATACAAGGCTTTCTTAAGCTTGCAAACATATAATGAGGACGGAAGGGATCTTGGAACCTAGATGGTTGGCTGGCATAAACAGTTTCTTGCAGGTGCCGATAGAGAAAAGCACTCTTGACGTCCAACTGATGTATAGGCCAGCCCAGAGATAGGGCCAAACCGATCACAATACAAAGTGTGGCCAGTTTGATAACGAGACCGAACATCTGACCATATACAATGCCAAAATGCTCGTTGAATCTGTAACGTCTTGAATACCGACTTAGTAGTTAGCCGTTATTTTTAGAAAAATAAGTATCATATTTTATTTTATTTTGTGACTAAAAATAAAAACTACTCCCTCCGTCCACCTAAGATCTTCCCATTGCGCGTTACGAGGCTTGACCGACTTTATTTTCAATTTAATTTAATTGATTATAGGAGTAAAATTATAAAATAAAATTTATATAGTAATAAACTACATGAAAAGTTCTACAAAACTAGAGGTGACAAGACTATATTATTTTACGAAATGACTAGTAAAAATAAGCAAACAAAGTGAGTGAAGTTTGACCCTGTGAATAGTGTCCGGAAAGATCTATGGTGGACAGAGGGAGTATTTATCAAAGTCAATCTTTTAATTCAAAATTTTACTGATTGGGTACATCCTGTGAAAAGGTGACCAACAGTGTGTAGTTTGTTAAGTTTAGAATTGCGTGTAATAAGTTATGACAAAGTAGTTGTTAGATTTCAATATTTAAATATAAATATTTTATTAATATAATAATATATATAATTTCCTAAAATTAAAAGTCCTAATACTACTTGCATTACACAAACAGACCGAACCCCCAATACATATATTACATAATATGACACGTACATTCCATACACCACACGAGAACGGAAAGAACGGAGCTGCACGGGGTGTGCTCTATCAAGGAGTATTGCTGCATGAGAATAGAAGTAGAAGCCATAGCATCCGGGCCAAGTTCTAATAAGTGCAACATGGAGGAAGGCCCACGCCGCTTGCTTCCTTCGTTTGACTCGTCTAATAGTCAAGGTGAGTTCGCGGGCTTGTTCTATTTTTAGAATTCATAAATAGTGTTAATTTATATATGCAATCAATCATAGATTTGTTTGCGTGATTTATTTGATTAGATGAAGGCCAGGTATGTTTCTTACTTAAAATCCTATGTTTTGTGTGCTAGTAGTCCCCATAAAGATTAAATATTATTAGTTGTTGAAATTGAGATTGAACACTGAACTCTGGTTGCATTTTCTCATAGAGATGGTAGGTACCTAGAGCCAGGCGGTAGGTGACCACTGTCACAGTCTTCAGCGTCCAATGTCCTGGACGGTACCAAAATACCGTTAGGCGGTACCGAGGTATCGTACTAGTAGCTGAATGCATTTTGTTGCTTGTTTTTTGTTGTGACCAAGTCATGGATTGATGCCGGGACCTTATGTGTTGTATGACGGTAGGTGGAAGGTATTTACACTTGACACTAGACTGCTAATTGTTAAGCTTATAAACTGTACTATAATCATGTATAAATTTTGTAATATAAAACTATGAACTTAAATATGGATATGCTACCTAGCTAAATTGTAGGTAAACCGAAAAAGAGAGTAAGAATATAGTTAAGAGTTGTCGGTAATGTGATGAGCTTGCATGCAGGCATAATCAGTTGGAGAATGATCTCGTATTTATAAGGAATGCAATCCCCATCCCAATCCAATTTGGAATATGTCTTTTAAAGTTTAGGATTTAAATCAAATCTCATTCCTACTTTAATTGCACAATTTCGGCCCTACCCTTATTGGCAGCTTTCAATTTATTTTGTCAACTTTAATTATCAAATAATTAACACAATAAATATCCTAACTTGTTTATATATATATATATATATATATATATATATATATATATATATATATATATATATATATATATCCAAACCAATAATATTTTGACAAACTTAAAAATCATTAAAATTTCCAATTATATATATTTTACAATATTGTATCATACTCATTAACAATATTCTACACTTGATTTGCAACATACCATCAAAGGGTTTTTTCCTTTCATTATTGCACGAAAATTTTGTTTCTCTGATTGTTGCTCCCGCCATGACTTTTGCTCTCTACAAATTATGAAGTGGTTCCAGAATGCAAGTGCCTATGACGATAGGGAAGTACCGTGCAACGATATTTCACTATCGTCTGACTGTTAGAGGTTAAAATTCAAATTTTAACTACCTTTGACCAATCTCAATATTCCTTAAACGATCATCAACGCTCACTAATCTTTCTCAAGTATAAATAGAGTCGTAATCCTTCACTTTAAAAAAGAAACCAAGCTCTCAAACTCTATATTTCATACTCAAAGTGTGTTCATCTTTTTGTTCTTCATTCTTATTATTTTAGCTATTTCAAGATCTTTTTTACTTTCCCACATCTTATGACACTTTTCATAATTTTCATGAAGTCAAAATAATACGGAGTACATTAAACAGTTTTTGCTTATTGCTTAGTGCTGATACACCGTTTTAACTTATAAACTGCTTATAAATCAAACATTCTTTCATAGAAGCAAAATGACTTACTCCCTCCGTCCCCCTGTATTTGTCCACTTTCATATTTGCACACCATCCAATGCACTTCTTTAATCCATTTTATCTTGTAATTTGTATATTAAAAAATTTTAAAAATTATATATTAATAATCTATATGTTAAGAGAAATCCAACAAGATCACACATGACTATATTTAGGCTTACACATTGAGAGAATTTGATGAGTCAAACTGCTTAGATGAACAGTTCCAAAAGTCAAATGTGGACAAATACAGGGGGACGGAGAGAGTAAATGATAGATAAGTCACTTGAAAAATATTCATAAATGGTGAGAGACAATTGTGTTAATAATCTGGTCAAATTGGAGAAACGAAAAAATTGACTTAAAAATAAAGAGCTACGACCTACTTATTTTTCTTACTTATAAGTCAACTTATAAGTACACAGAAACATGTTATCAGCAAATTCATAAGTAAAAAACTACTTATAAGCAGTTTTGACCAGCTTATAAACATAGAAAAATATTCACTAAGTTACCAAGTCCCCTAAAGAGTACAGGAATATAAAAATGGAGAGATATACCATAGAAAAAAGGACTAAAGGAGTACAATATATTCACTCAGAGCTCAACTTAAACACTAGAATACTGATACAATCACTGCTCTGTGGTACAGCAGAATCAGACTCAACTTGGAACTATTAATCACTAATATATATAAGGAAACTAATACAAATAATATTTATTATTTCTACTCTTTTCTCCCAAAGAAGTTTAGTTTTGAAAAAAAAAAACAAAATGACTCTTACATAGGAACGACCCCGAGCACTGTATAAAACACATCAATCTGACCAGATGAAAATTAATATCACAGAACTACCAGTAGAAAACCATATTTTGGCATTTATCGCATCACTGATTCTTTAACAAAGGAACGCCCACCGGCTCTGCAATAATCAAAATTGAAATGGGGGAAAAATCTTTAAGGTTGTCAACAAAGGAACACATCAAGAGCCTATATATAAGATGTGGTAAACGATTTCAAATTCAACTTACGAATACTTCAAATGAATGTTCATGAACCTAGCATTTTCTTTGCTTTGTGACAATTCTAAACAGCCTTCAATAACTTGATCTTGCTCCACGTCAATTGGATCATAGAAGTATATCAATGTCTGCAAACATTAGTAAGCATGTTAAATATGTTTTTTCCCCACATTCGAGCACCTCGAATTAGATTTGCCACCAAGTGGTAAATCTCATGATCATGGAATATGAACAAGCTATTATCTAGGTCAGTTTACTTGTGCTAATATTCAAGCGGTAATCCCATACATACAATCCAAACCAGTAGAATGTTGTTTATCTAATATATATAGTACTGACCGTGTATGTGTACTTGCCAAACACCAATACTACCAAACCAAGCATAAGGGAAATCAAGATTGCAGGGGATGGTCAAAAATTGGCATGCAGTTTTATCCCACCAGTTAGAGTTTGTTTTCTTCAACTTATTCTTTTTACTTATTACTTATTACTCATTGGAATCAGATCAAAAACATCTTTAATTCCTTTACATATAACTACAAACAGATCAGATCAAAACTTAATCGACTTAATCAAATCAGATCAGAACCAATCAGATAAGTTGAAAAGAACAAGCCCTTAGCATTGCATCATACGTACCAAAAGAATAAATGTTCAGTTATATGTTTGTATATAACGGTCCACATACATAGCATAAGTTAACAAGTGCTTAAGAAATGACAAAGCACCTGTTGCCAATGTGTTGGGGTGTCCTCCGGTGCTGTAGACAGCACGAGGGAATCACTGGGATTCGCACGCTTCTTTCTCTGTTTTCCATCAATGTTGTTACCATTTGAATGCTCGATGAATGAAGGTGTATCAATATTAGATGGAAATGTTGCAGGACCACTGAATTCCACATCAAACCAGAAAGCAAACCCATGAAATGGTGCTGGATAAAACAAAACAAAAATGGTCAGCATGGAAAAGGAAAAAATATAGTAGGCGGAAACAGAACTTCGAAAGAATAAATAAGCAAGAAGTCAATCCTAAGTTGGTATGACTCATGAAAGCATTGCAACTATACCTCGCATCATTGACTGAAATCTGAAACTCGTTTTAACATGTTCTAACTCATGAATAGTCACAGTATAGCAGTCTAAATGCTTTACCTGGCATGAAGGAATTAAAGCAAAGTGAATTCATAAAATCATCTCCAATAGACTCTTGAATTGAGATAAACAGTCAATCACTAAAAACTGTCTCCGACAACTTCTCAGAGTGGATTTTCACTCTCTAAGTTTGGAACGTGAAACAAGTCGTTTAATATAAATTGCACTAAATTCAATGAGCTTTGGAAAGACATTCTATATATATATATATAAGTGAAATTAAATGCATTGACTTCTCTTCTCTTTTTTATTAAAGAGAGAAATTTAAAGAGAAAACATAAGATGCATGTTGGAAGAATTTAAAAAATTACTCTTGATATTTAAAGATATACGGCGAATACTATTTTGTGAAATGTGATATTCAGATATTTAAAATGCTATTCTCTGGTGGTCCTTACATGATGGCAATAAAGAGTTTGATTAGCCTTTGGGTAGCCCACTAATGTAGCAACTGTATGTCATTATAGAGCGGCATAAAATTTTAAAAAAAAAGATCTATAACAATAACAACAGTATCTTTCCTCGACTGACTTTACATACGGATACATAAACAGACCCACTGTAGTCCAAGCAATGAGGTGAGGGTAACATGTACAAAGACCTTACATCCACCTGTACGAGGTGGAGAGGCTGTTTTGAATAGACCATCAGCTCAAATGGATAAAATCAAAATAAATTGAAGAGTAAATTCGATAATTGGTCCTTTAAATCAAAGGCTTTTCCATATTTAGTCTTTATAACAAAATATTATGTTCGTGGTCCTTTGCTTATGGGTACACTTCCACGAATAGTTCTCCTTTTTACCACTCATCATGTTGGTGTTAAATTCAGGGTTAAAAGTGTAATTTCACATGGTCCTACATCCTTCTTGCCAAAGCCAATACCAAAGGTTACTGATGTGTCATTTGTCCACTGGAATCGCTTCCCACCGCAACCATAGTCCACAGTTGTCGTTGCTGGTCGGAATCCATGTCCACAACCATAGTCAGTAATGATGTATTGTCCGTCAAGCCCACACAAGAATACATGGCCGAATCTAGGGTCAATATAAAATTACACTTTTAGATCTGAATCTAGCATCAACATGACAGAAAGTCAAACAAAGGATAATTTGTGGAAAAGTAACCATAAAAAAGGGACCACAAACGTAAGATTTGTAGATAGAGGACATAAATATGGAAAACCCCATAGTTTTAAAGGATCAATTATAGAATTTCCTCTAAGTTGAAACAAAAGAAAATAGACTCAAAAAAAATAAAATAAAATAACACAAAACAAATGTACAAAAAAGAGAAAAAATAGCTAGTACACAGAATGAACATTTATGTGTTCCCTACAAAACACTTAAGCGACGAGAATGAGTTGAAAGGACTAAACCCCATCTCCCAAACCAGAGCGAAAAAAACTAAAGTACCCATCCATCCTCTTTGCATGGCTTAACCATCACGCAACCTTGCTTCCATCATCATCTTATCCACCACACAGACTGCAGAATAACTTTGTTAGTAATCATATCTTGTGTCATATGACCACACATCTATCTTAGAATTTCACATCTCCACCAGCTTCATCTTTTGGACGTGGGCATATTTAACTGGCCAACATAAGTATACTGAGCATACAGATATTGGAGACGTATTGGCCTATATTCCCACCAATGTTATCCCCATTTTTAAAACTGGACTACTTGGGATGGTGTTAGCCTTCAAATAAATGGGGTCATCCCTATTAGCAAAACTTCTTTTTTTAGGGCAGAAGAGTCTTGGCTTTGCTGGGCAGTAGTTGTTTGGTGGGCTTCTTTGTCCATCTCATTATGGAGTGGGAAGGAGTTGGGAAATGATGATGGCCTCCGGCTCAAGATCAGGCTGGAGTGGATCTTGAATGGAACGATGAATAAATCCATCAAACCCAAGGGAGCTGGAGGATGAGGCAGGGACGTTGGCTTTGGAGTTTGGGCACAACCCGCCCTCGGCCGTCAAGCCTCTAATCGCTTCTCCTGTTGGTTGAGCAACTTTTACCTCCAACCTAAATATCAAGGCATCAAGCAGAATCGATTCATGGATCTCTGAGGCTTATGGAGAAGAGGATACATCCTCTTTGGTCTCACACCCCAACCCCGAAAGTGTAAAGTTTATTTTGGGGCGGACGAAAAAGTAAAGTACGAAGTTTATCTTGGTCTCACACCCCAACCCCAAAAGTAGGAGGCATATTTTTCAATTCTAAAATGATTGTTAAGATATATATTTGTGTGTGTGTGTGGGTCGGTGTGTGGGTGTGTACACACACACACACGCCCTCCCAGTAACTTTTGTTGATTTACATGTTTTCATTGATCATTTGATAAAGTAAAATATTCTTGTCATCTCTTATTTTGTAAAACCTTAGATGTAGTTTTAAAATTTGTAGGCTGTACTTTTTAATTTCTAAACCAATTTGAAAATAAAACATAGGTAGTATACTAGTATTTAAAAGTCACGGGATTTTGCACGTTATTCGAAACGGGCAATCCATTTAGGCACAGAGGCTGTGTGTGTGGCTGTGTGTGTATAAAACATAAAATTAATGTACATTTGATGTATAACAAAATCAATTTTTATACAAATGATTGCATTTCAATAATTTAAATCATGCCCTTTAACCCTTAAATTTACCACAATCATTTATACTTTGAAATTGCATTTCAATTTAATATTATATTTTTAAATTTAAAAAATAAATTTCCATTTTTCAAAACTACATCAAAAAGTTACGGAGTATATGTTTATGTTCTTCTAACAAATGATTAGAGTAAATAAGTAAACAAAGAATAAATTGTTTGACTTTGTGAATAGTAAAAGTGAAGTTTATTTAGGGACTGAGGGAGTTCTATTCACAAAATACAAAGATAGCATAAAAAATATCGCATTATATGTAATATCTCAACTATTGACTTACTATTGTCTAATATATAAAAAAAGGTTTAACAAAAAACTCCTTTCATTTAACTAAAATTGAAAATATGAAACTATAATAGGAGCCTCTTAGCTCCACCTAGGACTTTGCGCCGTCTAGGCTAAAATCATGGTGGTTGGGTCTCTCACTACTTTTGCAGAATGAATAAAAGTGATGAAAATTGAAAAGAAAAACACAAAAAAGTATGAACTTAAATCGTATGGAGTAAAATTCAAAATTAAAATTCTTCAGTGGATAAATTCCCTCACAATTTCTAAGGTTATAAATCTCAACAACAACAACAACAACCTAGTAGAATCCCACGGAGGTAGGGTCAAAGGTTATAAATCTCAGAGCTATATATTTTTTCATATTCACTCTAATGGGCGAATGCTTTACTAGTTACTACAATTTCTTAATGTTTGGAAAAATAAATTCTTAAAACAAAACAAACTTAGAACACATAAAAGAATTGCCTGTTTGACTGGACCAAGACTCACCACGTGGGGCCATGTCAAGACATTTTCACCATTTATTGTTTCCACAGACGGCTCTTCAAATGCACATTGCTTTGCTAATGGCATTATAGCAGACACTGCAAAAAAAACATAAAGAAAACTAAATTTAAAAAGGTCAAGGGAATAACATATCCAAGCATATTATCAGCACCACCCAGGTGAAGATAAATTCTTCCATAAAAAAGAAAAGAACATTAATCAAGACGTGCTCTATTGAGTGGGGACAGAGCTCAACGCATTCTCAAAGGAGTCAAAGGAACATATTGCAAATGAATCTTACTGCATATACTCACTGTCTATCCCGTACACATTGCGCCAAAAGTCTATGCTTGCACTATATCTATCTGGATTTGTTACTGGTGCCATATATAACTGCAGAGAGAACAAATGAAAAATAATTTGTTAAACATTTCTTGAAAGGGTGGTTTTATAAGCATCAAAGAATATGTGAGAAGAACCATAAGAACATAAGACTCAAACTTTATAACCATGAATGTTAAGATAATGTGTCAAACCATTTAAAGCAACATTAAATCTAGTATAATCCCAAATTTGTTGGGGTATGGGGGGTCAACATGTATGTAGCCTTACCTCCATACTAAAAGGAGAGGTTCCTATTAGACCCTTGATGCATTGCTGCATTTTCTTCCCAAAACTTCATAAAAAGTAAGAAGCCAAGGAAGTTTAATGTGATGTGCCATTTTGATTGTGCCCATTATTTAAATGAAGCAAAAACATTTTCAATAATGACTCGTTTAGATCCATTGGAAATGGCCCATGACAAACCATTTAATGAACAAATTCAATTTAAGAAAAGCGAAGTGGTGCCCACTGGCATCCCACCACTGAGAAGGGCATAATGTACAAAACTACTTGTTCTTAAATAACTTATTTATCTATTGATAAGCAAAAGAGAAGTTGTAAAATAAAATAATTGCTCTTTCATGTACGATTGTAGCGGTGGGTTCCACTGCTTATTGTTTTTAAATTTTATTACTCCGTAGTAAGCAAGGCAAGAAGTTCTCTACAGTGCTAGAAAACATTATGTTCGCTACAACTTGCATAATGAGGGAACGATTATAAAGTTATACTGAGGACTGATGGAGATAATATAAAGAATATTTGAAGAAAAAGTAGAGGAAAAAGATTTTGCAGAGCAACAACGAAGGAGAACACATTCATCTCGCGGTTTGGGTATAGGGTATCTGTTTAGCATTTTAGCCTCAAATTGTTCAATATCCAGCATACTTGAGGTGTAAGCATGACAATAGGTAGGTGTACACCCACACCCAGACCCCATTCATTACATTTTATTGGGTTGTTTAATGTTGTTGGTGTAAGCAAGCATGCAATCATCATCATTCATTGGCACCTTTATCCCAACAATGTCGGGCCGGCAGCATGAAATAAGTGTCAATCAAAAAGTAATTGGTATGTAATAAAACTCAAATATTTTGTGAAGGGTGAGTATTAGTCATATCCCATTTTATTTGTCCTCCACTCCTACTTTCCTGTTTAGTTCATCCCAAAGTAATGTTAACTTTCTAAAATCTAAACACCATGTCGCCACTAATGTGTAAGTTTTCTCAATTCACCGCATGGCTTAACCTTTTTTAAATAATTTATTTGAAGGACACTTTTGGTAAGTGCGTTGTGTTTTGCTTGTTTGCATTAAAAACCATGCTAAAAGCAAATGTCCCCTATAATTTTTGAAGATATAGAAGTAAGCAAGTAACAACTCAAGTCCTATAGGCATAGCTAAATGCAATCATAGCTAATAGCAAAAGATTGTCATGTTCACAAGTCCAGACCGCCATGCTTAGCATATGCACTTTACAATGACATGTAAAATGATGATAGTCGAAAAAATGTTTCATGCTTTCTCAAAAATACTTCTCGTTAAAAGTATCATTAACAATGTTAACTGTAAAACTGAAAGCAATTACTCCCTCCGTGCCAAAAAGAACATCCCAATTCACTATTCAAAATCACGGGAACTTTTGTTTATTTGTGCGCTTTCATTGATTATTTGACAAAATAATATATTCTTGTCACCTCTTGTTTTGTAGAAATCTTGACGTATTTTTTAAATGTATAAGTTTTATTTTTTATTTACATACCAATCTTTGAATAAAATGATTTGAAAAACTTAAAATTTCACTTCGTTTTGCGTAATGTGATGTTCTTTTTCTTTTTGGGATGGAGGGAGTACAGTAAATACTATGACTCGTGGATTGGTGATTCAATAAACAAATTTTTTAATAGTCTAGTGATCAAGATGTGGAAATAAGTTCTTACATATCAAAAAATAATTTTTTTAAACATGGCATTAGCCATTATATATGAAGTGTTTGCAACCATTTTTTCTGGTGTTTGGCTTATTTAAACACTTTTTGGAGTTTTAGTGTTTGGTAGTACTTTAAAGTGCTTAAATAATCAATTTTTTGAGTTACAAGCCAAAAGTAGGTTGGTACCTACTTAAAGTTGTGCTTATTGCTTATTTGAACAGCTTTCCACTTTCGTCCCAACCATTTTTATACCCTACTATTTAGCCTTGTCTTTTACTCATACAATAAAAAATATTCAGTTTTGGTTTTTAAACGCTCAAAAGAATTTACGCAGGAAATTATACTTCATCATACAAACATTACACACTTATACTTAAACAATCACTTACCCCTCAAAAACAAAAGCAAATTTTTTAAACACTCCCATAATTGTAGGATATCCAGATTGGCAGATGGGGAAAATAATGAGAAAAGTATGAAAAAAGAGTACCGTTGCGCTCGATGGAAGAATAAGACCACCTGGTTTCAGCCATCTGTCTCTAGCGGTTATGACACTGCCCAGCATGCTCTAAAGAGAAGAGAAGCAAAACCACCATTTGATACACTATAAATACAGTGTTGCAATCAATAGAGATATGACAGAACAAAGTGTAGAGCTAATAGAGAACATATTGCACGATAGTCTCCACGTGTTTGTAAAAGCACCTCATAAAGAAGCATGTATCCCATCCACTCTGAAACTATAACATCAACCTCTTCATCTATCTCAACATCCTGCAATAAACTTAGCATAGAATAGATAAACCCATATAATTTAACGTGGCTAAATTAACAGAATCAAGCTAATCAAACAGAAATGGTCCAAGTATCCATCCGGATGCACAAATTAGAGAATATAGTTAAGGAAAATGTTTGATGTCATTGGTCTCCCATCTGTACACCAAAAAGCATTTAAGAAACACTAAAAATATGGCAATATTTGAGAATTTAAATTTCATGAAACTTGACTCATCCCTTTCTCAATATATACAACATTTTAGCTTGGAGTACAACATTCTTAGGACTCCGATAACTAAACCTTTTGAAAAGCATTAAGCCTGTGTTGAGACCTCAGGCAATTGATACCATAAACATGCATTCTTAAATAACTAGAGCACCCCATGCAAATAATTGGATTAAGGTGCACGATGGTGATGATATGAAGTAATACATTTTTGCATTAATAAATGTGTGTGTGTGTGTGTGTATCGATAAGTCTAAAATGACACAGTGCTACTGGTGTCATTTGCTTACACCAGTTCGTTTGGGGTACCTACGGTGCTCCGTTTATAAAAATGACGGTTCCTACCCCCCTAACCCTCCCCCAAAACTCCCCACCCCAGCCCCCCCTCCCGCCTCCCTCCCTACCCTGCCAGGGTAGGGAGGGGGGCTGGGGGTGGGGGCAAGGGTGGGGCTAGGGTGGGGGGTTTTGGGGGTAGAAACCGTCATTTTTACAAACGGAGCACCGTAGGTACTCCAAACGAATTGGTGTAAGCAACTGGTGTATAAGTAACTGATGTCATTTTAGACGCTCCCTATATATATATATACGGAGTGTGTATATATATATATATACACATATATATATATACATATATATATACACACACACATATATATATATATTGGTAATATAATTCGCAATATTGTACTGATTGACGAGAAACAAGAGGGACTCAATGACAACTTTGAATGTTGCTTCAATGGCCTCATGACAGAATCTGAATCGAAAGTCAAGATTGATTCTCGCCCGGTGCCAAAGAGAGATTTTGATATCTTGGCTCGGGGGGATGTTGTCCATCGTATATGAGTGGCTTGGTCAAAGTGGAAAGCTTGCTTTAGGGGTCCTAGGTGACAAGGAGATTTCAACAAAGATGAAGGGGAAGTTCTATCGGTCTGTGGTTAGACCAACCATGATTCATGGAGCAGAGTGTTGGGCTGTTAAAAACCCCATGTTCTTCAACTACATGCAGCAGAAATGTGAATGCTGTGGTGGATGTGTGGGCATACAAGGTTGGATAAGATCCGGAATGAGGTTAACAAAGGACAAGTGAGAGTGGCACTTGTGGAGGATAAGTTGCGGGAAGCCAGAAAGAAGTGGTTTTGGCATGTCAAGCGGCATAGTGTTGAGGCTCTGGTGTGAAGGTGTGAGAGGATTACGATAGTTGGCAAGGATGGAGAAAGGGGAAGACCTAATAAGAATTGGAAAGAGGTGATTAGACAAGATCTAGAATTTTCTTGCCCTAACCGAGAATATGACTGGGTCTAGAGAACTAAGACTAGAATAATTGGTTGCTCTTTAGGGAATAAGTGCTTTTCTTTACATTGTGTGCTTTATATGATTGGTGCTCTATTCTTTCATTCCTTCGTTTTTTCCTTGCGTTTTTTTCTACCCTTAGCTTGCTCTTTTTATTTGGGCTTTGTGTTTTTTGTTGTGCTTGAGCTAGGGTCTCTTTGAAAGAGCCTCTCTACTTTCGAGTAGAGGCAAGGTTTGCGTACACACACCCTCCCCAAATCCTACTTTTGTGGGATCATAGTGGGTTGTTGTAGTTATTGTTGTAAATGTGTGCATATATACTCTATTACTCTAACTTTAAAATAGTTGCACATTTCTTATTTATCTTTGAGCAATGTTTTTAAAACCGGACCGGACCGGCCGGTCAGACCGCAACCTGGACATAAATCTATTCCAGTTCAATATTTAAACCCATTTTTTGTTGACCTGCCCAAACCCGTTGGACCTTACAACCTGTGTGACCTGGGTCCTATGTAGCACTGAAACGGAGACGGGGACGGAGACGAAACGAAACGGACACGCCGAAACGGCTATTTTGAAAAAACAAAGAGACGAAATGCCGGGGAAACGCGAAATTTATATATATAAAGTTTATATATATATATATATATATATATATATATATATATATATATATGACATTTTTAACTGTATTTTTAGAGATGAACCAACATACTAATTTTCAAAAAGTAAATTTGGAGGAAAAAGTATATGAATTTCACAAAAAAATAGTCCTTAGTAGTCCAAATATGAATCGTATCTTTGAAATTTTCCAATCTAGAAGTCACTTAGACCAGCGGCGGCGTAAGCTTCTCCCTTTGTCGGCGAGAAGCTTATTTGGAGAGAAGTCTTCTCCCTTTGTCGGCGAGTAGATGGCGACAGTTCATCGAATCAGCTGCGTAAGCTTCTTCGAGGGCTGTGGTCGATTGCTGTTGGGTGAATATGAGATAACGGCATAACATAGAGGAGTGATGGGGATTTAGGGCCACATAATACTTTCTATAATTTGAGTAAGTTCCAAAACTTTTAAAATTTATAGAAGAACCCCATTTTTTAAAAGAGGTGTCCATGCCGTTTCCCAAAAGAGACACACGTCTCCCAGCCGTGTCTTAAGCGTTTTTTTCCTTTTTTTTAATTTAAATTACAGAAACGCCATGTGGAGTTTCCAAGACGTCTCCTGGCATGTCCGTGGCATGTCGGCGTGTCCAAGGTGTCTGAAACAGGTACGGCAGCCTATATGGAGTTTCCGTGCAACATAGCCTGGGTCGGCCCAACAAAAGAAAAGGCGAACCCTTGACTTCCCTACATCAACACTGTCATATAGCCAAATGAGCTATTCTCCTTCTTGCTACTAAGTGCAAGCATAAACGTTAAATATACATCTCAATACATGAAAAAACCCAAAAACCTTAATTATGGATTGCACTTTTTTGGCATGTTTGCATTTGTATCTTATTTACTTAACAAATTGAGCATTTAAAATAGTTCGAAAAAATTGTGCATGATTTATTTTGTGTTTCAAAATAAATATAAATTCTTATTTTTAAAGATTAACTAATACTCCCTCCGTCCCTAAATAGATTACAAATTGCGGATTACGAAAAACATTTCCTACTTTTTGAAATCATTTTATTTACAAATTAGTATACCAATAAGATATAAAAATTACATATTAAAAAACTACATCAAAAGTTCTACACAGCAAGAGATGACAAGAATATTTTATTTTATCAAATACTTAATTAAATCGCGTAAACAAACAAAAGTTATCGAGAGGAGAGAGAAAATAATTGTAATCTATTTTGGGACGGAGGGAGTATTTGTTATTTATAATGCAACATTTTTTTATTTTTCAATCATTTAAATCAACTAAATGTACATTTTAAAATGTCAAGAGTATATAAGAACACATTATCTAGTATGTACATTATTGAAAGTATGAGTATTGCCTTATTATTTAAGTATTTATTAGATATTCATTAATAACTTTTAATAATAATAAAAATAATAGAATAAAAAATAGAAAGTGCGAAATAGTATATGGACAATTATATTAAAAACTAGATAGAGAAGTAACAAAACACAAATTAAAATACTTTTATAACTAAAAAAATTCTAATAATATAATATAAAATATTATTTTTTTAATTATCATGGACTGGGTCGTTGACCCCTGGGTTTACCAGTTCAACCAACCCTTGACCAACTCCCTTGTCTGTATCGACATCCGGTCCGGTTTTCAGAACATTGTCTTTAAGTTGTGTCGTACTTTTTTAGACAAAATCATTTACAAATGGCCAATGCTTCATGTTGGGTTTCAGATTCCCATGTTACATATAACACAATAGTTTCACTAATCGTTTCAAAGTATAACATTCAACAACATGATTAATACATACCTCAATCCGTCCATGAAGCACAATGATTGTGTTAGATAAGTTATTGGCTTTCACAACCTCATTTGCCTGATTAATTATCCAAAAGAACATAAAAATGGGGTGATGTTATGTTACATCTACAAGATATTTATTTATTTATTTAATTCTAACAAACTTCTTGATACAACTAAAAAAGAGAATAAATGTAACTCTCAACTAAATAACGGGATATGAGCTTGCAAGATAACAGAATTAATACACTCATACATTCAGCTAAGCTACAAGTTTGTTAAATAATATGAATACACTCATAAAGCCAAACAAGTGATAGATACCTCAACTAGAATTGTAGGGATAAATATGGAGTAGAACTATGTACACTTGTAACTTTTATATCTACACTAGGTACTCACTAAAAAATCAACAACAACAACAACCCAGTTAAATCCCACAAGAGTAGGGTTTGGGGAGGGTGTGTGTACGCAGACCTTGCCCCTACTCGAAAGTAGAGAGACTGTTTCCAAAGAGACCCCCGGCTCAACATCGAAAATTGCAGTGTTTGACTAACTGCTACTTCATTAATTAAAGAAGTGCGGATAGTTTAGAGATCCATTTTGATTTATTCCATCACACCCCAAAGCCAAAAATGGTGAAATTTTGACTCCATCGGAGATGATGGAAAAACTCACTAAAAAATCAATAGATCAAAATTAGATATATTTATAAAATTAACCAATAATTGTGTTGAGCCTAAGTTGAAATAAACCGACTTATTCGGCTAAAATGGATTTTACTAAATGTGTTTCCTTTAAAAAAAATTGACGCGTTCTGTAATTGAAGAGAAATAAGCCTTCCTAAACAGGATCTTAATGTGAAAAGCCAATATTATAGTGATAACTCAAATTTGGGCTAGCAATGGTACCAAACATACATTAAATTGCTTTTAACTTACTCTGTATTGTTTAGCTGAAACGGATTTTGCTAAATGCTTTTCCATTGATTTAATTCAACACATTCTGTAATTTAAGCCATATAAGCCTTGCCAAACGATCTCTTAAGGTGAAAAAATTTGATACTAGGGTGTTACTTCAAATTTGGGTTACCAACAGTCCCATGGTATGTTGTCAAGTTTAGTCTCTAGCTATGGGCCTATGACCTTTATTATTTACATATACACATATTATATGTATTCAGAAGTGGAAACAAATGTTACAACTAGTGGGTAACGAACAAAGACTTCCCCTAATATGGTTGGGCTACATTGGAAGACGGGGTTAGGCAGCATTCCCTATCTCACACGCACCAAATATGACTTAAGTATGTGCATAAGGTGTTGTATAGTGAGCTAGGAAGGTAAATGACAGTTGTGATAGTTGTGTGGGAATGAGTTGTTAAGTGTACATATCCTAATATAATAGGTCACAAAGATACGCATGTATAACGCTCACTAATACTTTGGATACATGAAAGAAAATGTACCTGAACTGCTATATCACTGGCATCTACTGCATATACCTGTGTGGCAAACAATTGTTGATAAATAAGTATTTAAGTGGACAAGGAAGCAATATATTTAATTTGTATAAATATTGCTCTACAGAACGACAGCCCCCCCCCCCCCCACTTAAACAAATGTCTGGTATGGACAGATGTTCACGACAAGATAGTATAATTAAACATTTCCAACACCTAGGGCTCAATTCTATTCACAACAGAGGCTACTTGTGTCAAGAACAGAAACAGGCTCTAACCCGCCCTATTTCATGAGCAGAGAGATGATTCAAGAACACACCTTTCTTGCATTCTTATCGTAGATCTGGAACGAGAGGGTGTGTTTAAATATTTTAAAGAAAGTTTGGAGATTTCAATTATTTAACGGCAAAGTTTAAGAACCTTGAAGAATGGGGAGATGGAGTCTGCAAGTGAGAATGGGATCTGGGAGCAAGGGTTGAAATCTGAGAATTTGCTTAGGTTGTAAGGATAAACAAGTCATTTAACACCAAAAAAATTACCAAATAGGGAAACAGGTAGAAATTTTTTGGGCGGACAAAAAAGGAAACTGGGAAGAAATTTTCCAGACGAAGGGAGTATTTAACAACTTCAAAAAAAGAGGGTTTCTATTACGAGTTTACGACTGCATGGAAACTTGAGGAATAAAGGCCATGACTAAATATTTAAGAAAAACATTTAATGGACAATCACATAAAACAGTATTGTTAGTTTGGAGGGGAGATGAGAGAAATGTGAGGCAGCTCCACGCAGCAGCAAGTCCTGAACAGAAGAGCCCACGGGTAGTTGTTTTTATTTTTTGCTTGTACGTTTTGCCGTTTTCCACTGACACATGAGCCAAAAACCATACATTTTCCCTACAGCAGATTTTTTCTCAATGCAATCCGTCTTTGATGAATTATTAATTGCCTGTTTGGCGAGAGACTTTCACTATAAAGCATAAGAAGCAAGGTTCCCCGAGATTTCAAAGTCCATTTTAAGTAAGTGTGGACTAGAAACCATTGGATAAGGAAGTGGTGGGTAGATCATACACTTCAAAGTAGTAGATTGACCATAATAGGACTCAAAGTCGCAGCTATTGTGAAGAAACAAGGGTGTGTCCAGCGATCACGAGTTTTGGGATGGAAGCTTTAGGGCGAAATCATATCTTCTTACCTTGACTAATTTCTTTAATCATTTGTTAAAAAAGAGTACATGAGAAATGTTTTAGGCTGATTTAGCTAAAATAGCCATTCTTTGACAATGTTTTAGCTCTCAATAAAAAAACTAAAAATGGACTAAAATCAAAATAGCACATTACACTTCACTTTCTTCTTGCTTTCTATGAAGTGTTGGCCAGTAAATGCATCAATGCATTAAGGATCTAAGGAAAACAATTTCTCTATTTTTACAAGGTAAAGTTGTATACATCTTGACCCCAAACCCCAATAAAATTGGGATTATATTGGGCTTGTTTTTGTTGTAAACTGGTCGAACCTTCTCTTGTTTAATAGAACTTTTAATGTAGTTTTTTAATAAATAAATTTTAGTTTATAGTTTTACACTAATATTCCAATAAATTGAATTGAAAATGTCTTCACTCAAACATCGCAAAACTGAAATAAGACTAATATTCCAATAAATTGAATTGCAACATCTTTTTTACCAGGTCTTCAGTCTGTGTTGAATAAAAGTTAGAGCAAACAACCCTAAGAGCATATATAAGCACATTGCTTTGATGCAGTCATGCAGAAAATCGTGTATGGACTACTTATCCAATTGATAGATTGAAGATTCATCCAAATAGCAACACAAGAATTATTTAAAAGTTTTTAAAAGTAACTACACAAAGTCTTACCCGTCTAGCACCAGCTTGAGCGCAAAATATAGAGAGAATACCTGTGCCACATCCAACATCAACCACAACCTGGAAATCATTAAATCCAATAGCATAAGAAAAAGATTCAATTATATGGGGAAAAGATATATCTTAAACTCTTTTAAACAAGTAAATGAAATCAAATGCATGGAAATTCCATGCTTGGAGAAACAGTCGCAGTCATACTCGACTGCACTGATTATAAGTTTCAAAAAATAAATCTCACCTAATTTTATGCTTTTTTTCTGAAGCCTGATTGTATGATTAAATAGAAAAAATGAGTTCATTAGCATAGAAAGTGAACACTTAGAACTTCTTACTTTTCCGGCAATGTGATTCTGGTGCTGAAAAATAGCATTCCGATAACCATCTGTACGAGCGCGGTCCTGTGTAATTCAATGTAAGTACGCATACAGTCTCACAAACATATTACCCATACAAAAACACACACATACACACTCTTGTCAACTTATTGGCTTTACTCATTATATTTTTCTTTTTGAAGGGTCATTTCTTTGTAAACTTTGGGTTTGCTTAAAAACACCAATTTTGTGTTGCATCTTGGCTCGAAGAGGCCAATCGATAAAATAAGCAATATCCATTACTAGAAAAGGGAAAAGAATAGCTAAAAATATACATATTCAATCGCCACAAAATCAAAATTAATTTTACAAAGTAGGGAATTTAAGACCCAGAAAATTACAACTCGCATTGGGGAAGTACATCCAGAAAATGACCACTGCGTATTTTACAACTACACTGGATTTGGACACAGATAGAGAGCAGATACAGCCTCACCTTTATCATCTCCTCATGAATTCCAACATGAGCATAGGAGTGAAAGTAGGCCTTGTCGAATTCGGTACAAGGAGGGGTAGGCCTTTCTACTTCATCTTGCTGCTGGTGTTGCGAATGAGAAACCCTAGCCCCACTCTCGACATTGCCATTTCCATGGGTGCGTACTCTGCCGCGGCTGAGCCTTCTTCTCCCACGGCGGCCTGCAGCGAGGCTGCTGCCATCTCCATCGTAGTGGTAGCCATTGCTAGAGCCGGAACTAGACGATCGGAACATTTGCTTGTTCCAGCAACTGCCTCCTCTTCTCAGTCAACACGGAGGTCAGCCGGGAGACCACAGTTCTGAACTAGACTTTGCAGGGTTTAAGATCCACCCTGACGACAATACAACAAGAGATCGATGTTTGGCTCAAAAAATGAATTAGATGTGTCAAGAAATTAAAAAAAGTTAGAAGAAAATGAAATGAGTTTAAAAAATTGAAAAAGTTAGATAATATTGAAAAAATAAAGTTAAAAAATTCATTCAATTAAATATTTATCCAAATAAATAGGTAGTAAAACTAATTTTAGATTTAAAAAATTTTTTTGCTTGTGTTCACACCAAGGAGTTTATTCCGCCGCGACACAACAATCCTCCGTTACTTTCCACGTGATATATTTAAGCTTGGGTTTGGAAAGGGAGGGGAGTGGACTGGTCGAGTATATGGAGGAGGATGAAGGGTTGATTTTTAAGATGGTTTAAAGGCATAAGAATAGGGGAGAAAAAGGGGGATACTGGTTGTGCTTTTTAGGAGGGCCGAAAATTTGGAAGGGAAAATAAGAGGGGAAAAGGGATAAAAACCAAGTAGGTTTTAAGAGATATAACACACTCTTATCCTCACTTGGGGTTTGAGTCTAGAATTTAATTAAGATATTACACACTCAATTAAATAACTAGAACCTAACACTCACACTTAAGGAAACCAACCTTAAGATATAGAAATTAAGATTTGAAAACAGAATACAACCAGTGTATTTCTATCTTGAAATGAAGAATAAAAATCTGAGCATTACAATAGGCCTATGGCCGAAATTTAAAGGCACTCATACAAAGGAAAATACTAAGCTATTTCTTCCACAAATCCTAGAAAATGCAGTCATGTGCTTGAGTCCTTTCATGGAATAAAATCAGGGAAAATGGG